TTTCCGCATCCGCAGGAACACCATCACCCTCTAGGCTCAAGGCGGAGATGCAGCTCCTAAAGCGGTGAGAGGTGAGTAGGTCAGACCCACCACAAACTGGTCAACGACCAAAATTCCCTTTCGCTGCATCCAAACAGTCCACATCAACACTTATGGATTTGCAATGAAACAAAAAGCCAGCATCGTCCTCAAAGCGATGACGATGGCTGTGCTCTCATCATTGAGTATCTGCAACACGGCTGGCCTGCTCTTGCCAATGCTCCTCCCGTGATGCAGCCTCTTTTAGAGCATAGTGCACACTGCAGCCTGACTGACTGACGACGGCTTGCTTCTCTACGATCAGCGTCTGTACGTAGCACAAACTGCCCGCTCACCAACAAGAAATCCTGTGTCGCATTCATCACGATCATCAGGGTATCACCAAGAGCCGACGACGTCTGGCTCGCACTTTCGCCCGGCTGGTGGCCATCGATCTCCTCTGACATAGCCACTTTCGTCCAAACCTGTGACGAATGCAGTCGCCATCGCTCTCAGCCACCCAAGCCTCTTCTCTCCATTCCGCTCCCGGAGTTTCCTTGGCAACATCTGGCCGCTGACTTCTTCACTATTGAAGCCTGCAACTGCCTCCTCATCATTGACTATTTCTCTCGGTTCATTGAAGTCCTCGACATGCCCTCGCTCTCTACAGCTCGCGCGGTCAGCCATCTCAAGTCGCTGTTCGCTGGCCATGGCATCCCCGGCATTCTCACGACCGACAATGCACCGCAGTTCACTAGCACTGAGTTTGCCCAGTTCACATCTACCTAAGGAGTCCGCAACGTCACAAGAGGAGCCCGCCCCTCAATCCCCAAGCCAATGGCATGGCCGAGCGTGCTGTTCGCACAGTCAAGAGTCTGTTCCGTCAGGGTATTGATTGGCAGCACCTAGACCTCCTCGTGTACCGCAATACTCCCTTGGAGCATGGTCACAGTCCAGCCCAGCTTCTCATGATCCACCAGCTGCAGTCACCTCTACCTCTCTCTCCGGCAGAGAGACAGTCCCATCCAGTCGATAAGAGCGACGACCTTCGTGCCGCGGATTAGTGCCTAAAGGATCACCAAAGCCCCAACCATGCCAGTTGCCATGGAGCACGGACACTACCATCTCTGTGTCCCCGGCAACAGGCTGTCTATTTGTCTGATCGAGAAGAGTCTGGCCACGTGACTAGCCAACCGGCCTTGAGCTCCTACATCGTGCCCCCCCCCCCCCCCCCTTCGAGTGACTGCTAAGCAGTACACATGTCATCAAGCCCAATGGCCAAATATGGAAGGTGTTATTTATGAAATTTGACACGGTTCCTCTTCTCTGATCGGTTCGAGACATAGCTCATCGGAGTCAGTGCCCAATTTCCCTTCGGATAAGCCATACTTACTTTTGGCACATTAGCTCTTACAACCTCAAAGAAAAGAAGATGTTGTGGTATCTAGTGTGGTCATGTGAGTACAGTCAGACCTTGCTTAACCCTTTCAGCACGCATCACGTATATGTACGTGATCGTACATGTAACTGGCCCACGGATCACGTATATATACGTGATGCGTACAGTGAAAATGAACGTACTCTCGAGACATCCGTGGTCGACGGATCTTATCCCTACGTGGACCAGTGACGTGCTGGATGAACGTCGACAGTTCTACGATAGTACTGACGTGCGCATGTGTGCCGCTATGCACGCGTACTAGTACATAGATGTCGGGTGCGAAATTATTTGAATAATAGAATTTTGACAATTTGCTGTCATGGCGCGGCGTCGATATAGTGCAGACGGTCTTGATCATGTCCTCGACCTTGTCGTACTCGACCCTGACAGTGATGTCGAGCCGACATTGTCTGAAGACGACATCGTTCTATCGGAGGAAGATGGAGATCTGCCTGAAATTAGCGCAGCGTTGCCAGGCGATAGTGAAAATGAATTGGACGACGACGATGTCGTAGGAAACGCTGCGGATGACGATGTAGGTAGCGCCAGCAGCGACAGTGACGGTGAGAACGAGGGGGTATCTGCTAAAACGCACGTGGAAGCAGTCGAAGCACTGGCTGAGGGCGACGATGGAAGTGAAGGTCAGTGTGCGTATGGATCTGAAAATAGTACTCACAATTTCAAATTTTCAAATAATTGTACTAAAAATCTTGTCACTCAGCTGATCGCTCAATGATCATGAACGGACTTTTTTCCTCATTCACATTGCATGTAAATGTGTATTGTATTGCAAACGCTTATCATTGTGAGTTCCAAATTTGAATTATATTTTTAGTATTCATACACATGTACAACTCAATCTGCGGACAGAATTGTACAATGCAAATTATTATAATTATTAGCATTTGTGTGTGACACTGGGAACATCATAGGATTTGTCATGGATATTTTGAGGATCGTGGCAGGCTTTATGTAGTTGCTAGCTACCTGCTAGTTCACTGTAGTGGTATTGCAGCGATCAGCTACTTTGTGTGAGCTGCATTCAATAATTTGTGTGAGCTACATTCTATAATTTGTGTGTGGGGGGGGGGCACACTCGCGCGCGCGCGCGCGCTCGGGTGCGCTTTCATGCATATGTCCAATGGTGTACATGAGTGTACGGGTGAATGTGAATGCGAGAATTGCATGACTGGATAGGTCTGCATAGGTGTGAATATGTGCATGTCTCTGCCGGTGTCTGTTCGGCAAGAACCTGTTGCCTAGCTATTCGTATTGCATTCCGTGTTTCGAGGAGTCTCGCCGAGGGAAATAGAGCGGTACTCGCTCGTGTCAGGGGTGTTCAGGTCTGAGCACCGCTTGAGGATCGTGGCAGGCTTTATGTAGTTGCTAGCTACCTGCTAGTTCACTGTAGTGGTATTGCAGTGCTCAGCTACTTTGTGTGAGCTGCATTCAATAATTTGTGTGAGCTACATTCCATAATTTGTGTGTGTGTGTGGGCGCGCACTCGCGCGCGCTCGGGTGCGCTTTCATGCATGTGTCCAATAGTGTACATGAGTGTACGGGTGAATGTGAATGCGAGAATTGCATGACTGGATAGGTTTGTATGAGTGTGAATATGTGCATGTCTCTGCCGGTGTCTGTTCCGCAAGAACCTGTTGCCTAGCTATTCGTATGTATTGAATAGTTCCTGACGCCCCTCAGCTGTCTTCAGCAAACATGACCATATTTGGTCATCATCTACTCAAGAACAAAACCGTAATTATGTCAAACCTAGTTCTTACCATCATATCCACCTGGCCATTCTAGTATAAATGAGCTGCATGCTCTGGTACTTTCAACCCGTATTATGGGAAAATTCATCAAAAATGCGTATATTTTGTACTCGTTTTACTGGCTTCTATTGACCAAATATGGAATTTTGTGTTGGGAATTGTTCTCACTGAAACCTATGCATTCCGCAGAAAAAATTGTGAGTGAATAGGACTACTTTTGGAAAATCACGAAAATCACTGGTTTTGGCTCCGCGGGTCAGTTTCACACCCTGGCCGTGCTGAAAGGGTTAACGCACACATCCGTTTTCCACAAAAAAAATATCCGGATAGGCGAGGGAACCGGATAATCGAGCACACATACTGTATGTATGCATGACATATGCTGTAAATTGGTAACCAACGATTTTCTTCCGGATGGCGAGGCATCCGGATAAAAGAGGACGGGATAAGTGAGGTCTGACTGTACATGCATGACACCCATGTATACATGTACATGTACTATGCTGGTATAACTCCTCTCATCCTCATCCACTCACACATATCCTAACATTCCATTCCTCCTTCCCCCTTTTAGCCTGCACGTAGTAGACTGCATCTGTTCTAGGTTCTTTGTCCTTCGGGAGTACGCAGGTTAGATCCAAGCTCTTGGCTCTCTGGTTGGTCGGGGTAGACTAAAGCACAAAACACTACGCCCCCCCCCCCCCCCATATCCCACAAACACCCCCTCCCCCTACCACCCCTTCCCCATCCCCCCATCCCCCCCCCCCCCCACACACACACACATGATGTGCTTGCAACTTGCAAGCCAACACATGAACATAAACGGAGACAGCGTGACACTCATGCGGACCCAACCTGCGGTGATTTGTTCTTTTCTGGTCTTTGCTTGCATGCCGTGAGATGTACGATCAATTTCCATCACCTCCAGCACAACACCTGATACATGACCCACATGTACCGGTACACACACAGAACATACACATACACATATACACACACACACACACACACACACACACACACACCATAGACGATACAGAAAAGCGAGGATTATTTTTACAACGAGTATGTAGACAAGTGGTACAGTAGATTTTTCTTTTGACCAGACGAGACCAGACGAGACCAGACGAGACCAGACGAGACCAGACGAGACCAGACGAGACCAGACGAGACCAGACGAGACCAGACGAGACCAGACGAGACCAGACGAGACCAGACGAGACCAGACGAGACCAGACGAGACCAGACGACGCTTGCAGACACCAGCACAAGCACTGCACCAGTCAGCCTGGTCTCGTCTGGTCAAAAGAAAAATCCACCACTACTATTTGACGTGGCGGACCTACTGAAGATGGCATCAACAAAATTATGACAGACAAGGACGAAAGAACGAATGCAATTAAGCACATGCATGCATGCATGCACGCCAGCAAATACGCACGAGCGCGCGCCCACACACACGCATACACACACATGAGTTCACACCTGGAGGGAGTTTAACGTCTGGTGAGAAGTGATGCACCATGGCAACCAGAAGACGCAGCGTGGCCACCATGTCCCGTTGGTGTATGCCTAGAACCTGTTGTATGCACATCAGATACACATGTGTATACGCATGTACACATACACATACACACATACACACACATACACAATGACAAAACAAGACGCTTTGCCTCCGCCTACGTCTCTATCTCCCTCTCCCCTCCCCCCACACTCCCTCCCTCCCCCACTACCACCTCCTCCCCTCAATATTCAACGAAACAACGTCAGCTACTGCTGCATGCCTGATGAAGCCCCAGGCAGAAGCGGACACAGGAAAAAAAGTTATCGGAAAATTTGCATCGCTTCTAGCATGGTAGGCATACAGTATGTTCACCAAAGACAATACGCCTCTGTAGATGGTCGGCAAATATACTGTCTATCTACAGAAATAGTACCCGAGCTACGGTACGGCACCCCCTTCCCCTCTCCTCCCACTCCCCTCCTCTCTCTATCTCTCTCTCTCTCTCTCACTCTCTCTCTCTCTCTCTCTCTCTCACACACACACACACACACACACACACACACACACACACACACACACACACACACACTCTCTCCACATCCATACGGCTTACACTCCAAGGAGATTCATCCTCGGAAACACGCATGATGTCGTTGAAGATCTTGAGCACATGGGCCAGTCGGTCGAGCTGGCTTTTCTCAGAGAGAGCAATGACACTGGGCATGTTGTGATGGCCTCCACCAGTCAGTTCGTCAGCCAAATCAGCCAGCACCTGGTCATAACAACAACACAGCAACAAAGCAAGTCAGCCAGCAACACAGTAACAACACAGCAACACAGCAACACACTAACTCAGCCAGGAACTGATCATAACAACAACAACACAGCAAGTCGGCCAGGAACGGCTCAAAATACAACAACAACAACAACACAACGACAACACAGCAACACGCCAAGTCAGGCAGGACCTGATCACAAGAACACAACAGGAACACAGCAACACCCACCCACACCCACCCACACCCACCCACACCCACCCACACCCACCCACACCCACCCACACCCACCCACACCCACCCACACTAGTTTCGTTCCCCAGCTAAAAACATGATAAACTACAGAACAACCTGTGAGTACACAAGGGCGTCGGAACCGCACCGGCCGGGGCAGCCATGGCCGCCCCACTTTTTCGGCCGTTTTTTTTTTTTTTTTTTTTTTTTTTTTAGCACACTGCAACAAAGCGCGATGATCTCAGCGCAAACGTACGTGGCAAATCCTTGTCCCCGATCGTGGTTTGTTGCAGAATCAAAAGTCCATGTACACTGAAATGGCACCAAATGCCTGGAAATGCTTGCAATTGGCTTCAATTTTTGAATTTTTTTCCCGGGGGAGGGTAATGTTTGTCCCCGATTGTAGCATCTTCTTGTTTTTTTGCAGAATCAAAAAGTCTTTCATTGTAGTTACCGTACACTGAAATGGCACCAAATGCCCGGAAATGCTTGCAATTGGCTTCAATTTTTGAAATTTTGTCCCGGGGCGGACCCCCGGACCCCCCTTCCATGGCCGCCCCACCTCCAAAGTCGTTCCGACGCGCCTGGTACAGTACTCTCGGTCTCCGAAGAACAACCAGGCTAGAATTTCACCAAGCACAGCATACCAATGTATATACGGTGACTCAACTGCATGGTGCATAGAACTTTTTCGTCCAAGGATAGGCCTTGACAGATTATGCTAGCATAATTTTTCGCATAATTCCTACCAAAATTGAATAATCGCATAATTCGAGGCAAATTGCATACGAATCGCATAAAATTGGAATAATCCGCCTGTTCGCATCAAATTCCATACAGTTGTACATGTTCTGCAAGTACAAGTACAAGTAGATGCACCAGGAAGTCGTAGGTTTACGACTCCCTTGATAACATGTCCAGTCCACTACATGTCAGTGACGGTCGTAGCTAGGTCGGACGGTGCGTTGACCCTGTTGAACTTTTGCTACTACAGTACAACGCCCTCTACAAAAAAATTCCCCTGTAATTTTGCACAGAACCATTACATGTACATTGTACATTAGCAGCATATGTGAGCATAATGCGGCATAATAATTATGATAACTTTTAGCATAAAAACAGCATAATTCTGCAATTTTTTCAGCAATGCGAAAAGCATAATTTCACGAAAATATTAGCATAATCTGTCAAGGCCTATCCAAGGAGCTTTCGGACTAAATGAAATGCCGGACTGATATCCATTTGTCCAGCTTTTCAATACACTCTTATGATCCATGGACGAAATTTCACACCAGACGAACTCCCTTTCTTTGGAGTTGGACGAAATCATTGACCGACGAAATTTTCTGCTTATACAGTACATGAAAATAGTAACGGTCTAGGCTTGGAGGCTGCCCCCCCCCCCCCTCCCCTCCCCCCCCCCCCCCCTCCCCAGTTCTTCGGCACCCAACAGCAGTACTGTAAGTATCACCTGTCCATCGTAGAAGTCTTCGCGTATGTCCTTGACGACAACCCGTCGATCGCCGAGAACATCATTCACCCAGTCCAGCAGTGAACTGCAGAGAGACTTCACGTCCTCTGCGTCCATTGCCTCATGTGCCAACACCTGCAGGAAAACAACAGCGGGCACAAGGACACAGGGACAATACCGGCAACAACATCATCAGTAGTGACAGCGGCTTTTCAAAAAACATGATGATGATGATGATCATGATCAAGGCTTCGGTGGATTGATGTGGTGAAATCCGACATCTCCCCTCTCGGACACACGCTCGAGGATTGCCTCAACACTGCACGGGACAAAGGGTTATAACGACAGTGACAGTAGCGACAACAATCTCCAACGACGATGACGACAAAACACTGCAGGGAAAAGTAATTATTGTTGCATAACTATTAACTAACTTGCACACACATGCAAACGTACATAAACACACACACACACACACACACACACACACACACACAGACGCGCATGCACACACACACACACACACACACACCAACCTTCCAATGGCTACCGGAGGAGTCAGTATCGATCCAGGGACCCAGCGGTTTATCATGCGGCGCCAGCGCTTGTTCTGTTGCCTTATCCAGTTCACGTACTTCCTCCTGATCATGCTTGGCTCCACGCAGGGTAAACGACCAATGAAACAAACCTGCCAAACAAGAACAATCATGGCAAATAAGAAAAATCACGGCAAATAAGTACAATCATGGCAAATAAGAACGCGTTGGAAGGCGCACAGCACACTGCCTTTGGGGGTGGTCTGGTAGGAGGGGGTCCGGGGGCTGTCCCCCATGAAAATTTAGAAATAAGGGTGCAAAGTCCTGCATTCTAGGCACTTTTGGCCGTGGTCGGGCGAAAAAGTGGTCCGGCCAAAACCGCACCGACCGGACCGGCTGCTACTTGGGTGAATGACACATTGACATTTTACATTAACCCACATGCATGCACGCATACACACAATAAAACTTAAAACAACCAAAACATCAATATGCACATTTATCCAGACACGCTCTCACATACACACGCACGCATGTGCGTGCCAAACGTACAAAACGTGGACACGTGTACACCAAGCAGATAGAATACAAGGAAGTGGGGTTTGCCATAGTTTGTTTTTTTTCAATTTTGTCTGATAAATATTTACGAGACTTTGCATCGAGCGACACCGTGGATAACATTGAGCCAAGAATTATGCAATAAACCAGAAGAGATATCTCTTCACAAGTAGGCAAATAAATGCGTAGGTGCCCGGCAACAGCAATCGGGCGAGTCACAGCAATGTACGTATTGCAACTTCAATGATACGCATACACGGTTGACCACCCATGCCTCCATTTTCGGCGGGTCAACCACATGGTGGCCCGGCAACTTCAAACGGGAACACACTGATACAACATACACAGTTGACCACCCATGCCTCCATTATCGGCGGGTCAACCACATGGTGGCCCGGCAACTTCAAACGGGAACACACCGATACAATAGACACAGTTGACCACCCATGCCTCCATTATCGGCGGGTCAACCACATGGTGGCCCGGCAACTTCAAACGGGAACACACCGATACAATAGACACAGTTGACCACCCATGCCTCCATTATCGGCGGGTCAACCACATGGTGGCCCGGCAACTTCAAACGGGAACACACCGATACAACATACACAGTTGACCACCCATGCCTCAAACCGGCGGGTCAACCACACAACAACATACAGGTGTCACAACACTGAGACAGTACAGCACAACACTGAGAGGCAAATGCATTTGACCCTCCTTGGGGCCTCGTCATGTGACACAAGATACCGACGTGTCATGTCTAAAGGGAGGGAGGGAGGGGAGAAAATACAACCTTGAGTCACTTTGGCTAACTGGATGACAGAAATTGTTGACAAGGAAGTTGCTTTGCTGACACGAGGCAGGGCAAAGCGGCCACGCAAGATTTATTTTTTCATCCACCATTTTCGGAAAAAATATTTTTTATTCATGTGCCGCGTGACGAACCGTGACAAAACACGTGCATGCGTGGGCTAACTTGGCTTTGCTGCTCAAAGCCGTCATTTAACCCACATGCATGCACGCATACACACAATAAAACTTAAAACAACCAAAACATCAATATGCACATTTATCCAGACACGCTCTCACATACACACGCACGCATGTGCGTGCCAAACGTACAAAACGTGGACACGTGTACACCAAGCAGATAGAATACAAGGAAGTGGGGTTTGCCATAGTTTGTTTTTTTTCAATTTTGTCTGATAAATATTTACGAGACTTTGCATCGAGCGACACCGTGGATAACATTGAGCCAAGAATTATGCAATAAACCAGAAGAGATATCTCTTCACAAGTAGGCAAATAAATGCGTAGGTGCCCGGCAACAGCAATCGGGCGAGTCACAGCAATGTACGTATTGCAACTTCAATGATACGCATACACGGTTGACCACCCATGCCTCCATTTTCGGCGGGTCAACCACATGGTGGCCCGGCAACTTCAAACGGGAACACACTGATACAACATACACAGTTGACCACCCATGCCTCCATTATCGGCGGGTCAACCACATGGTGGCCCGGCAACTTCAAACGGGAACACACCGATACAATAGACACAGTTGACCACCCATGCCTCCATTATCGGCGGGTCAACCACATGGTGGCCCGGCAACTTCAAACGGGAACACACCGATACAATAGACACAGTTGACCACCCATGCCTCCATTATCGGCGGGTCAACCACATGGTGGCCCGGCAACTTCAAACGGGAACACACCGATACAACATACACAGTTGACCACCCATGCCTCAAACCGGCGGGTCAACCACACAACAACATACAGGTGTCACAACACTGAGACAGTACAGCACAACACTGAGAGGCAAATGCATTTGACCCTCCCAAAAACCAGTGTTTACGACCAAGCATTTCTCACGGCATCGCTCATTAGCATAACTTCCTGCAAGTAACCATGGCAAACCCCTAAGTGATACCCACAGAGCCACACCGGCACAAGGACTGCACAACAAGCGGAAGGCACAACACTGTACAACACTACAAATGTACCTCACTTCTGTTCTCAACACCACATGGGCGTGGGCTGTTCCAGTCTTTGCTGCTAGCCATTGCACAGAGGGTATACCGGCTGCACGCCTGACATAGTGATCGGATGCTGCACTTCGCCAGCAGCCTGCACGGCATATGGCTGCTTCACAGACACTTGTACTCCGGTGAGCCATGAGTGTGGCCCCGCCAATGCGCACAGAATGGGAGCTCACCCGGTTGCAGTTGAGGATCCTAGTCGAGAAAACTCGGGAGAAGTAGCCGCCGTCGACGAACACAAACACTGGCCGTGAGCTGCCGGCAGTAGCGGTCAGGGACCGGAACTCGGCCATAGCCGAAACTGGGTACATCAGATTATGTGTGCGCAAATACCGGGCTTAAAGGTCTGAGTCGCTCATGAGATCATTGCTGGCAGCAATCAGAGCGGCGAGTTCAGCAGAGGAGTTGGCACCAGGCACTGGTTGGCTGTGGAAGCCAGTTCTCGGAAGCGAGTAATCACAATAGGTTCATGCTGCATCTCAGCGGCCCGTTGCCCCAAAAACGATTGTCCTTGATAGAAACCGCAGAAGCCAACATCAGAGGCATCCGTGAATAGCTCAAGGTCAGGGGACTTTGAAAACTCGACATCGTAGAAGAAGGATTGGCCATTCCAGTTTGCGGCAAAGGAGCGCGACCATTCGATGTCCAAGTGAGCTTTTGTGTTGATGTTGACTACTGACTGAAGAGACTGAGAGAGTTGTCCAGCTAAGATACAGGAGTTGACGGATGAAGGTCCTGCCAGGAGGAACCACCTTTGCGGCAAGGACAAGGTTCCGATCAGCGACAGCAGTTCCCGCGTTGTGTAGCTAGTGCGCGTGGACTACTCACTCAAAGCCGCTAGAAAGGCAAATAACTTCTTGTCAGGTAGCCGCATCACCTGGTCCTCGCTGTCGACTTCTATGCCAAGTACCGTCACCACTGTTGCTGGGCCGACCACCTTGCTGAGGTTGTGGAAGACCTGCGGAACCGTTGCTTTCAGTTGAACTCATTCCATTGACCATGAAGCACATGATAAGCACCTTGTTAAGTGCAGCGTACTGGTTCTTGTGCTGGCCTGCACAGCTATCAGGAATAGTTTTACCCAGAATGACTGGGTTGATGATTTCTCCCTAAGAGAGGGTAATGCCACGTGCACAGCAGATGTGGTGCATAACGAACGCACAGTGGGCACAAAATCTTCATATCCACATCAAAGGCCACAAGCGTTTGACAACCACACCTGATACGTAGATGATCAACGATCGTCCCTGCACTCAACGTCGCTCCAGCAGTAGTAGCATGTTGCAAATCACCATTGTACGTTGTCCATGTAAATGCCTCTGCTCCTTGTCTACTTCTTTGGCTAGATTTTTTGACAGGTAATCACAGCCATTTCTGAGTTGGCGTCAACGCCACTCGCCACGTCGAGGCCTAAATAACTGGTCCTCTGCTTCGAGTAGTTCTTGCTTGGCCTCATGAACTCCAGGAAATTCACTACTGCGACCATGAGCTACTCTATCTGCCCACGCAACAAATAAATATTTCAACCAAGCGCGATCGATCGCTGTTTGAAGTTGTGAATTTTCAAGCGCTTCCAGCTCACACGAGTCAGCGCTTGTCTACGCAGACTAGCACAACTAATACTCTTGTACAGCTTGGCTAAAGTTTTACTTCAAGCGCGGAAGAACAAGGCGGCATCTGCACAGTGACACGTTGCACACAGGAATGTGCCAGGCCTTTCCACTCGGCACCATCTTGTCAAACTCTCCATTACGGTCCAGGATTGAGCAGAGTGAAAGACCAATGAAACAAACCTATGCGCAGGAACAATCATATCACGGCCATTACGCACACCTTTGGTATTTGACACATTGGGACTTATACTCAAGTTCTATTTCCAGGATCCTCCAAAGGCAAATGTATGACTGTACATCCTGTATATAGTGAAACCTGTCTAAGACGACCGCTCAAGGGACCTTCAAAATGTGGTCTCTGTTACCAGGTGGTCACCGTATCCACGGTCATTTGACTGGAAATAGCATCACTTGGTCTGGTTGCGGTGGTCTTCTAGGACAGGTGGTCGCCTTATCCAAGAGGTCGCCTTATCCGAGAGGTCGCCTTATCCGAGAGGTCGCCTTATCCGAGAGGTCGCCTTATCCAAGAGGTCGCCTTATCCGAGAGGTCGCCTTGACACGTTTTACCGTATACGGTTCAGGGCCTACATCTAGTACATAAATCAAAGGAAGTGTTCCGGGATACGATATGTCTACTCACACAAACCAGACCACAATTACTTCCTCCGCGTCATTAAAATTGTCGCTTCGCACATCGCAATGTTTAGGACTTGCTCGTCTAAGTCAGGATGTCGGAATCGTGGTTTTCTGTGTTCGAACATTGGTGCGACCCTTCCTGCTCAATGTCTACTTGTTACTGAAGCGACAATTTTATTGATGCGGAGGAAGTAGTTTATACCAAGCACGCATGCACGCACGTACGCGCGCAAGCACACGCACACACACACACACACACACACACACACACACACACACACACACACATACACACACACACACACACACACACATACATACATACACACACACACACACACACACACACACGCACACACACACACACACACACACACACCACTCACCAGACACACACACACCACTCACCAGACACACACACACACACACACACACACACACACACATACACACACACACACACACACACACACGCACACACACACACACACACACACACACAAACACACCACTCACCAGACCCGTCGGTAGAGTCCGTCCCAGACCTAGTACTGGTAGCATAGCTAGCATCATGTCCCAGCGTGTTGCTAGGCGACGAGCCCTCTACCTTCGGAGGTAACAACGACATGATGACTGCAGCCTCCTGGAGCTACACTTCCTTCTGAAACAATATACCAAATTTACAGATAGGAACAGCTATCCTAGGGCAACAGCCACAACGCCACAAACACTGAACAACAGCAACAGCAGCAGCAACAGCAGCAACAGCAGCAGCAGCAACAGCAGGAGCAATGTTTCACAATCACTGGCACAAGTGCCCAAACCCCATGACGATGTCAAACCTTTTAAATTTCCTCCCACAAATACCGGCCAGCACCAATAGTACATCAGTGCTTGAAGACAGTTGCAGTTAATATTGTAATGTCTTGTATTAAGCCTGTCTCATTATAACACTTAGAAACCTGTTTTGAATGGAAGCCTGATTTTCAAGATGTACTATCGGCACATACCGTATTTTTCGGAGTATAGTGCGCACCTTTGTATAACGCGCACCCCCAATCTTCATTGGGGGTGCGCACTTCAATCTTCATTGAAGTACATGCATTTCATATTCGGAGCATAGTGCGCACCTGCGATTTAGGGCCTAAAATAGCACATCTAAAGTGCGCACTATACTCCGGAAAATACGGTAAGCCTGGTTTTAGTGTAGACATCCCAAGTACATACTTCAAGTAGAAATACCTGTGTGAACGTGAAGTACATTGAAACCTGTCTAAGACGACCGCTCAAGGGACTTTCAAAATGTGGTCTCTGTTACCAGGTGGTCTCCTTATCCAGGGTCATTTGACTGGAAATAGCATTCCTTGGTTCTGGTTGCAGTGGTCTTCTGGGACAGGTGGTCGCCGTATTCGAGCGGTCGCCTTGACAGCTTTTACTGTAGTACAGTGCCGTGCGTTGATGTGACACACAGTCCCGTGCAATGGAATCCGGTCGCCCTGCACCATTTCGCAGCCCGGCGTTCGCAGGTCAGGGGCTGTGCAACGCCCACGTCAGCGCGTACCTGAGTGATTCGACTGGATTTCATTGAGCAACACGGTACATGCCAGGGTGAAAGTGCCATCACATGCACAATACTGTAAGTCAGCAAATATTCGGCGCATATTTATTTTCGGCCTGGTCACGTTTGGCTGAAAATTTGTGCCGGCCGAAATTCGGTTTCGCAGGGTTCAGTGTGACAGTGTATACAGGCGGCAGCAGTACAGGCCGAAAATTTGATGTGGCCGAATTGGGTATTAGCCCTGGGAGGCCGAAATTTGGATGGGCCGAAAATTTGTAGATTTGCAGTATGTGCTGCAAGATTTTGTTTTGTAAGTTCTAGTTTTTGACATGATTGCACTAAGTACATCATAGTGCAGTCAACTTCGCGTATAACGACACTCGGCGGGGCATCAGAAAAGTGTCCTTATTCGCGTGTACTGTGCTAACAAATGCGGGGATGCATGCGTGGACCACTGTACATGCAGGCAAGAGTACATAACCAAGAGTGTGCAACTCCTATCTAGAGCTGCGATGGGTTCACCCACGGTGGAATTGTTTTATTGCATCATTCTTTGGCAGAAGTGTGATGAAGTGTGTATGCTTTCCCGCGCTTGTTTTATAGATACGGTGAGAGTTCATCAGGTTCAAGACACATCGATCTATCGTCCGTTGTTCTACTTCGACTACCGTAGCTGTAATGTACAAATCATTTTGTACTTTGATCTCTGGTTGTGCATGATGGCATCAGTGAGCCAAACCGCCGCCAAAGACTGATGTCATGAAAAAATTCCGCCGTGGGCTGGGGGATCGTTGAGTTGCACACTCTTGGTTATGTCAGTGCTGCCACTTGCTCCGATTTTCGGAAATCATTCGATTTTTGATCGCCTGTCAGACAAACTGACTGATTTTGTTCCCAAAGAGGGACAACCGATTATTTTATTTTTGAGCGCCTTTTAGTCTAGTGTTCAGCAGTTGGCCATTCACCGCTTCCAGGTCGCGTTTTGCCAGTCATTGCACATGTACATGTAGCTGTAAAATGCACGCGTGTTTGCATGTGTGTGGACAATTAAAAATGCGTTCTGGGGCCCCAACAGCAAGCCATTTTCCTAAAAAAACTTCACCGGGGGACACCAACCCCCCCCCCCCCCCCCCTGGCGGATTTTTCTCCCTCCAAGTGTGGCAGCCCTGTTGTGTACTCTTGATGCAGGGAACTGCGCCAACACCCACAGTCAACACCCACAGTCAACACCCACAGTCAACTGGGTGCTGCTAACTATTCGGAGTGAGGGTAACATGGATGCAGCTAACGAGATTCGCCGCCCTTGTAGGGCATTGGTTGTGAGAGTTACCACCTCACCCTCGCCGTTAGGAGCTGCATCTGCCACCCTGGTATCACAGGCATGGTGGTGGCCTGGCACGAGGCAAACTTCCTAAGCTGGTTGTGTTTCTCAATACAATTGTATAGCTGGTTGTAACGTGGACGTGCAGACTTTACACTCCGTACAGTCAACTTGGCTAATAACGTGTCGACTGCCGATATAACGACAATTCGCGAATAACGACAGAATGTCCATGCCCAGAGCAAAGTCCCACCTAACTGTAAAACATAATTATAATGAGACTTCGGGTATAAGGACACTTTGCGAATAACGACACTTTTCTGATGCCCCGCCGAGTGTCGTTATACACAAAATTGACTGTACTTTCAACCTCGCACATAATGAGAACTCGCGAGTAACGATACTACAACTAACTAACTTGTAGTGTCCTGTTGCGTGTGCGGTGGACAAGGTCACCTGGAGTCATGGAGAGCACACGTAACGCGGAGCTTGAACTAATAATTTATTACTTACTCCACATGGTCAACAACCCTACGTGCCGCGGTTCACTGTGGCGTCACAAGCATGTACGCTCTGAACATTTGGTGGATTTTTCGAGAAGCTTTGCTGCAGCAAAGGAACCACGAGACGTTTGGTATGGCTCTTCCCCTGTGAGGGATTGTTCGAACTTCGAAGTGACTCGGCGACAGTTGCTAGTCATGAGGACAAGCAGCACCTTTCCGCCTGTCCGTTAGTTAGTCCAAACTTTCCGGAGTCGCTTTGGTGGTGTGGCGAACGAGGTCGGCCGGAGAGCGCATGTGCCGCGGAGGTGGACAGAAGGCTGGCGATATTATGTAAAGAAAAGAGCCATGATTGTTCCTATTGGAGGCCTGGGAGACGCATGCCAGTAGGTGGTATGTGCAAATTAATTTATACGCGTGTGTTTGCGATGCGTTCTTACCACCGATTTTCCGCTGCCCCGCTTGCTGATAGTCGACTATCTCGGAACTGGACTACACCGTCCGTGGCCGTTAGCGGTCGACGTCCCCGCTATGATCAGCCGCTCTCGCTCCGTGCTGCACACCGACCGCTACCTGCAGCGAGCACAATCGTCGCGACTTCAAGCACTACACCACCACTACCACAGATACTGCCAATACTGGGCGGCGAAGAAGTTCCTCTTGTTGTGTATGGCCCGCAAGGTTTCCGCTACAGCTGTACAGCTGCCCGCTGCGCGGAATCCGGAACACCTATCGGTAGCCCACGAATCGTGAAGTACGACAAGTCCGCTAGTCCACGCCACTGACTGGCACTGTAGTCTGTACTGATCGGACTCGGAGCGGAAGCAGACAAACAACCAGCTGAACTGGCTTATGCCAAAAGACTAAGTAATAGTTAGTTATGGCTAGGGCGCTCGCGTGGTGCAAATGCGAAGCGTAAACAAAGCTAGTTTGGACTGGAGACTGGAGTAAATGTACGCCGGGACGCGAAGCACAACTCGCTTTCCACCTCACACAAACCACCGCGTCAAACGAAAAACAGGCGAGGCAGGCAGCTAAACGTTACTTTTAGCGTGTACAATGTGTATCGCAGTTTTATGTAGATCTACTAGGATGTGCTCTGCATACATGTAGACCTACATGCACAGTATAAAGTACGTACAGTAGTCATGTGTATAACTGGTTCACAGTCAGCTGATCCAGCTCACGGCAGCTGATCCATGCCATGGCCATACTTCTCAGCTTTCCGTACAATTTCGGCCAATTTCCGTACTGCGCGGACAAAGGAGTGAATTTCCGTACAAATACGGAAGGTTGGCAGCACTGCAACTGGTCTAGGCCTGGGCTCTTACCATGCTTACACAAGGTTACGGTCTTACTGCTATGTCTTACTATGTCATGTAGTTCATGGTGATGCAGGTAACACACGGTGAAGACACAACGACACGTTTATTACGCTACGTTTTCGTGAAACCTGTGCCTGGATACTGGAATCTGGATAGGCTCAGTAGATCTACTGTTTGAGTTTGAGTCTGACTCAAAGTCAGAACTCCACAGCTATAATTATTATTACATGTATAGCTAGGTCAGGATCTACAACGAACTGTTCTGAGGATCTAGAACAGTAGAGTGTTTTAGTGCTACACTAGTATGATCACGGTAGTACAATCATCTACTGATATAGATCTACACTGACTGTACATGTATGTCAGAGACCCACATCATGTCAGCAGATAGCAGATAGCAGGCGGTAGCCATCCAATGGCCAAGTACATGTAGTTGCATGTTACTTGATACAAGCATGATGTTCGTTACCATGGCTACTGTTGTTGCTATTGCTATTCACCATCATCGGCCGATGCATTCTAAAAAATTGTTTGTTGTATTGAACGCACAAAGACGTGCGGCCATTACAACCAATGATGATATCGGAATCCAGCTCAGAGAGCAAAGGCATGTATAATAATGCCATATATGCATATTGATACTATACCCTGTGTACATGCAGCACACTCCGCAATCCGTGTAATCCGTGTAAATGGCATACATGCAGTGCACCGACCGTTGGCCTCCACCTCTGCCAGTAGCAACAGTTCGTCATCAACACCCGCACGTGCACATACAGACCCACACACGTACACACACACATACATACACACACACACACACACACACACACACACACACACACCGTGACACACACACACACACACACACACACCGCGACACACACACACACATACCCAAGCCAACTAGCGACGTATGCATGACAAACACGATAACCGTAATGTCTGTTTGTTATAGAATAAGCGCAGACACACTGGCTGTGTGTTATAGAATAAGCGCAGACACACTGGCTGTGTGTTATAGAATAAACGCAGACACACTGGTTGTTTTGTGCCAATTCAGCATTCATCCTGTCCGGCATATATTAAAGGACCGGACGTTTGAAAATATCCACATCAAGAGAATAGGCCTTCACAGAGTCAGCACAAACAAAATGCTGGCCTCACAAACGGCCACAAAGGAAATCAAAGGAAGAAGAAAGGTGCTCGAGAATAGAGAAAGCATAGAAAATAACCTGTGATCTACATTCTAATTATTGTGAGCAAAAAGCACTAGTATGTGCAGGCAGTGGAGCACCAGCGATGGGACAGCACCAGAGCTAGCTACAGTCAACAGTTGCATGCTACCAACACATACTAGTACCCTACGCAAGTACAGTAGGCGTGTGTCCAAAACACGTGCACACGCAAAAGCAAATTACGGAGCAGCAGCAGCAGGCCAAATGGAGAAAGCCAAATCAGAGGGAAGATTAAAATTAGGACTCAGTCTCAGTCCACAATCATCATACTGAAGTAGCTATAATGATTATAAAATATCTCTCTTCCTCTGTTTCTCTGTCTCTCTGTCTGTCGCTCTGTCTCTCTGTCTGTCTCTGTCTCTCTCCGTCTCTCTCTCTGTCTCTCTGTCTCTCTCTGTCTCTCTCTCTCTCTCTCTCTCTCTCTGTCTCTCTCTCTCTCTCTCTCTCTCTCTCACTGCAGCGGAATATCTCAATGCATAAATATAGCTGAAAGAAAAACTGAAACACATAAGTATATGTATACACACGCACACACACACACACACACACACGTGCACGCAAGCACAAGAGGTAGTCAACATGCCCACAAGTCCCAGCCATCGCAATGTGTGGCCCAGGCTCTCTGGCAGACCTACGCATGCACGAAGCTAATATGCAAGAGAGCAGGCAGTGGAACTAAAGCCTCAGTCCACACTCATCACAGCTATCAGATATAATGTATAATGTATCTTTCTCTTTCTCTCTCACTCTCTCACTCACTCACTCGCTCACACACACTCTCTCTCTCTCTCTCTCTCTCTCTCTCTCTCTCTCTCTCTCTCTCTCTCTCTCTCTCTCTCTCTCTCTCACTCCCCCCCCCCCACACACACACACTCTCTCTCTCTCTCTCATTATCATATGCTGCAGAAAGCACTGACACACGCACATGTGACCGTGTACTCTGCAGTGCTGTGCAGTGGATGATGTCATCACTGCAGGGCTGTGCAGTGGATGATGTCATCACTGCAGTGCTGTGCAGTGGATGATGTCATCACTGCAGTGCTGTGCAGTGGATGATGTCATCACTGCAGACAGTGCAATTAGATGCTAGTAGCCCTCAGCTCACGACGCAGGATCTTGCCGCTGGCTGACTTGGGAATGACATCGGTGAACACGATACCGCCGTCCAGTTGCTTGTATGCCGCGACCTGCACACAGACAGACAGACAGACGTGGCCACACGCATACACACACACACACACACACACACACACACGTATACATACAACCTGTATTGAGTAGGGAGCGGCTTGCAGATTTGCAATGTCGAAGGTTCGATGGACTTCTCATGTGCTGTGGATGGCAGTCGCGAGTCAGTCAAGTGTCAAGTCAAGTCAGCGAACAAGCACAAGCTCTGGTGTGCGTGCCAACCAAATTTCCTATAACATTGTCAGCAGGAAGTTATTTGTCCAGTTAAACTTTCGTACCCGAATCATGGAATATCTTGACGGGGTTGGGCAAATTCCTGTTATTCCAGTATTCAAGGTACAGTACTGTCAGTCACCGAAGAACTGGGGGTCAGCCTCCTAGCCTCCTAGCCTAGACCGTTCTTATTTTCATGTGCTACAGTCTATGCACAGTTGAGTCGCTGTGTATACATTGGTATGCTGGGGTTGGTGAAATTCTAGCCTGGTCGTTCTTCGCCACTACGCAGTTCTGTAGTCCACAAACCCCTTGGATGAAAAAGATGAAATGGGATTGCCGGTTTATTTTCCGCTTGTACAGTAAGTTAGACAGACTGATAGGCAGAGGGACAGACGGACGGACAGACGAACGAACAGGCAGGCAGACAGACTGACAACAAGAAGTAGGCAGACCGCTCAACAGGAGCACGACTTGATTCCGATGACGCTTTGCATTTCCACCATCTACTGTAAACCTGGAATCGTTTGCGCCCGTTTTGGTTCGCGAATTGCGACGATAGACCATTTCGCGCCTGCAAACATTTTCAATTGGAGTCAATTTGATGATTGACTCGAGTCTACAGTTTCGCGTTCGCGTCTACTTATGTTCGCAATTTCACACCCATCGCGAAAATACGAACGTTTCAGAATCTCAAAGGTTTCAGAGTTTACAGTAGGTCTTCATCAAACAAACAAACAAACAGGCAGAGAGACTTACAGAGCGTCATAGAGAGACAGGCAGACAGACAAACAGGCAGAAAGACTTACAGAGGGTCATAGAGAGACAGACAGACAGACAAAGAGATAAAACCACAGTTGCAAAAAAAACATTCAGCAATCCGTACCTGGCTTTCCATGAAGGACATGACGTCTTTCTCGCTCACTTCCGTGCCAGACCTTCTGACAATGAACGCACGCGGCAATTCTCCTTCTCGATCGTCTGGAACACCGATGACAGCGGCGTCATCGATGAGTGGATGGCTCAGCAACTCGCGCTCCAACTCAGCTGGTGCCACTTGATAACCTGTAGCATATGACACAGTCGACCACACGACGCACACCACAAACACATGATGGCAACGCAATGTCATTAACAAGTTAAATAAAATAACAACAGCAACGACGGCAACGATGCTGAGCGGAGCAGCAGCGAAGCACTGGCTCACGGTGCAGTGCGCAGGGCAGGCCCAGATTTGTCAGCACTGGGCTGTGCACTGGTGCAGTGTGCACTGCAGCCCTGGAGCAGTCAGCACTGGGCGGTGTACCAGGGGAAGGTGCTGATTTGACTCACATGATCAGATTCCATCTAGCAGCACTGTACTATAATTACATGTATTGTATGGTATTACATGTATTGTATGGTAGAACTTGAAAAGTCCTAAAATAGGTAGAGGCATAACAAATTACAAGAAGACGACCGAAGAAAACCACCAGACAGGAATATCTCGCGCCCTTACCTTTTCTCTTGATGAGCTCCTTGAGTCGGTCGGTGACGAACAAGTAGCCATCGCTGTCATGGTAACCAATGTCTCCGGTGTGCAACCATCCGTCCCGGTCTATAGTGGCCGCGGTGGCTTTAGGTTGGTTCAAATACCCAGCCATCACCTGCACATGGGTGGTTGCCAAGACAACACGACAAGGAGATATCCGACAGAATGTTGTTCCCAAACTCGGAAATTGCTTGCTGACCCAACATTACAGTCCATTCATAAAAGAGATGAGTACTGGCTCTGGCGAGCTCCCGTATTTGGTGATTTTTCGTGGTTTTACGTGCACATTGCAGTGCCGTGAAATTTGAGGTTAGAAAAAGGGTCCAAAAAAGGTAGAGTAGACGGTTCGATACCGGAACGCCTTGACAGCCAAATTTGTATAGACCCAAACCGATCATCAGCGTTGATTTTTCATTCGAAATATGTTTGTGGAAGGAAACTGGCATGTTGAAGTTTGCTCTGGGGCCAGAGTCAATCGAACTGAGCCACTCCTTTGTGTTGACCCATTGCCTCCAAGTTGCCCAATTTTTCGCTTCAAAAGAGTTCCGGTTTGCAACCTGTGTCCTATTTGAAACCGTCGCCTCTACCTCAACTGGGGTTCGAACCGGACAATGCAGTGATGCAAGTGGAGTGAAACGGATTGGATTTTCATGCCCTCCAGCATCAGTGCTTACAGGACACAACCTGGCCGAAATCCTATTCTTGTCCTTGTTATGGTTTGCTTTTTGGAGAAATGGACTTCAGAAACATAATTGAAAGAGCATTCCATGGAGATTGCAGAAAAAATTGTGAAAAAAACTCAAAATTTGACCCATTTGTGGCCAAAAGCTAGGATATCATCTTTTTCACGTACTTAGTAGTACAGTTGCCTTTGATATCCTGTTACAGTGAAACCTGTCTAAGACGACCGCTCAAGGGACCTTCAAAACGTGGTCTCTATTACCAGGTGGTCTCTATTACCAGGTGGTCTCTACTACCAGGTGGTCTCCTTATCCAGGGTCATGTGACTGGAAATAGCATCCCTTGGTCATAAATGTACCAGCGTTAACAGCAAATATTGACCTCTCTTGAATAGTGCTCTCTCTTGAATAGTGCCCTCTCTTGAATAGTGCCCCCGCTGTGATGGACATTGAAAAAATAGTGCCCCAGGGGTACTAATCCCCTAGGGACATTAATCCCCAGGGGCACTAATCACGCGAGAACGATAGTACTGATCATGTTCAATACTGAACAGTCAACTGATGATTACTCACACCACTATCTAAGCCCCCCCCCCCCCCCCCCCCTCCTCCTCCATCCCAACATACGCAAAAGCATGCGCACGCATGCATACAAACAAACACACACGTACAAACCGTCCCATACCTGCGGTCCGCGCACGCAGATCTCCCCAGTGATGCCCTTGCCCACAATATTCGGATGGTCCGGGTCCCGGCTGTCGACGATCACCACTTCGGTGTTGGGAACAGCCAGTCCTACAGAGCCGTGTCGTGGAGAGCTGAATGGAGATACGTGGAGAACGGGGCTCGTCTCCGATAGACCATAGCCCTGAGTTCACAAGTGTGGGAGAACACATGCACATGCGAGCGCACACAAGCACACACACCAGCATGCACACACACACCAGCACGTACGCTCACACACACACACACACACACACACACACACACACACACACACACACACAAGCAGCATGTCAGACTGGAAACATGTGTTGGAAACACACTGCACAACAGCACAGTTCAACGCATATGTACACCCGGATCCCGGATAAGACTGTGACGGTTACGCTAACACAATGATCTACAGTGCTCCTACCTGCAGGACCTTGCAGTCGTTGATACGACGCGACACCTCGGCGCTTATCTCACCCCCGAGCGGCGCTGCTCCACTCAGGACAGAGTAAACACTCCGCAGGTCGTACTGCGACACCATCGGATGCTTGGCCAGGAACACGGCCAGCGGAGGTGCCACGAACAACTGCGTGATCTTCTCCTTCTGGATGGTTGATAGGTAACGCTCGGGTTCAAATTTCGGCATGGTAACCAGCCGAGTACGTTGGTAGAGGCCGGCCAGTAGGAGTACAACCATTCCGTAGATGTGGAAGAACGGTAGCACGCACAGGATGGATTCGTTCTCGCAGCGGCACAGGTCCACCAGTTCTGGCGATGCGCTGATCTGGAGAACGTTAGCGATGATGTTGTGATGAGTCAGCTGGACTCCCTTGGGCAAGCCGGTCGTCCCGGAGCTATACGGTAACACCGCGATATCTTTCTGTATTGCGTACGTAAAGTCCGGCAAGGAGTTGCCATTGTTGTCCAGATGCTGCGAGAAGGGAACGACGCGAACGCCGTTGAGTTCTTGCTCGGTTGTCACGCCGACGGCGATGACAGACTGGAGGCCGTGTTGCTTGGCGGCCTGTGTGGCGTTCTCCAAGAACGGTGCACACGTCACCAACACTTTGACACTGGCGTCTGCCAGCTGACGTGCTATCTCCGGCGGCGTGTAGAGTGAGTTTACGGACGTGACCACACCACCTGCTGCCATGGTGCCCAGGAATGCCGTGGCGTAGTCGGGAAGGTTTGGCATGTACACGGCGACGACGTCATCTCTCCGCAAGCCAACGTCCACGACTAGCGACGAGCCAAACTTGCGGATTCTCTCGTACAGCTGGCCGTACGTGAACGTCTGACCTGTTATGGCATCCACGATGGCTGTTCGTTTGGCGTCCTCGTCCGTCAGGTTGTCGAAGATCAACTGATGCATGGGAACACTTTGGCGCTGGATGTCAACTGACGGGTAGACGCTACGAACGACGTGTTTCATTTGACCGACAGGCGAGAAGGTCTTGTTGAACGGCGCCTCGACCTGTTTAAGGGCAGTGCTGGCCGTGACCAAAGTGCGCACGGGGGCAGCACCCGATGGCGTCGTGGTCTTGCGGGCGCGTCGACTGATGTGCCGAGCGACCGGTCTCACCACAGCCATCGCCATGGTTACACGGAGCAAGGGTTTCGTCGTTGGCTGTACACACTGCAGCTGCGGTGCTGCTGCTGGTGGTGCTGCTGGTGTGTGTGCTGAACTTGATCTGGATATCCGTGAGCCCACATGTTGTAAATACACACACAGGCACACACACACACACACACACACACACACACACACACACACACACACACACATACACCATGACACACGCACGCACAAACACACACACAATAATAAAAAAGTAGCCGAGGACAAAAAAATCGTTGTACATGATGTTCAGAGGCAAGTTATGTCATATACGCAGTCAATAGCTGAAACAATGCCAACAGCCACCACAAGGGACATGGAAGTAGGTATCGTATCGGCTCCATTTTGATTTCCGGTAACATGATCCTAATTATGAGCTTGATGTGTGGCCTCAACACGTCAGGTGATGCGGTCGAAAATCCAGCTAACTTTGCTTTATTTTTTTTTAAATTTTTTAAAAATATTGAGATCCAAATTGGCAAATATGGCCGCGCTGTGCCAGACCTCCTACGAATTAAGAAAGGACCACCTGCCACCAGGCGGCGCCCCAAGCCAAGGGGTTGGTTCCTACTCACAGGGTTGACTTTACAGAGTTCCTGTAATTTCACAAATTTTCGGTGTACTTTTATTTTCGGTACTTTCGGCGCATCTGTTTCATACCTAAAATTTCAATACACTGAACAACCACATACACACATAATCCAATAGGGAACTGCTTCTCTGTACCTAAAATTTCTGTTCACCTAATCTGGCCTTTTGCCCTCATACCGAAAATATTGAGCACCGAAAATTTCTGAAATTAGAGTATACACCATCTCAGCCTACTGTAAAACTGGAAAGTTTAACGACCAAAAAAGTAAAACGTTTTTGTATTTTGGCATGATAACGTGCAGAAAGTTAACGATAGCTACCTGGCCACCCATCTGTATGCGCATCTTTACACAGTCATCTAGCGATAACGTTGTTTTCAAATACCGAAATATAATTGGTCGTTAAAACACAACAGAACAACAAGGACAATCAAGGCTTGTTTGCTGCTACTTTAAGTTTCATGCTTACGCAATCATCAGGCAACATGTTGCCTGATGATTGCGTAAGCATGAAACTTAAAGTAGCAGCAAACAAGCCTTGATTGTCCTTGTTGTTCTGTTGTGTATTACGCTCTGCCTTTGTGGTGTTGAGCACTGTCAAGCACTCTGGGTACATCCTTCGGTTGGTCGTTAAAACATTACGCTTTAGGAGCTGCATCTGCGCCTTGATCCTTGAAGGGTGGTGGCGTTCCTACGGATGCGGAAAACCCGGCTTCCAGCCGAGTCTCACGCGAACCGTGAAATTTTTTTATTTTTTTTTTTTAAACATTAGACATTGTGACTCGTTAGACATTCCGATTTAACAGTATCCTAGATTACAGCAGTTCCTGTAAAACCTGTCAAGACGACTGTGGAGTGTGCTGATCTCAAACTCGTCAGTCACCAAACTGATTTTATTGTAAAGAAGACACGCGGACTTATAGAGTGTGAAGAAGAGTATGGTGGGATAGAGAGCGGTGGAAGGAGAGCCGCTGGACAGCTGGAGAGTGTATCAATAAGCGCACTGGGGGAAGGCTGAACAGTATCGGTCTCTAGACATCAATAGGTATTGTACGAAAAGCAAGACAATAGTATATGTACTAAATTTTAAAGTCAACCACAACACAGACAATAGCTTCACACAGTCATGACACGGACAATAGCTTCACACAGTCATGACACGGACAATAGCTTCACACAGTCATGACACGGACAATAGCTTCACACAGTCATGTCACGGACAATAGCTTCACACAGTCATGACACGGACAATAGCTTCACACAGTCATGTCACGGACAATAGCTTCACACAGTCATGACACGGACAGTAGCTTCACACAGTCATGACACGGACAATAGCTTCACACAGTCATGTCACGGACAATAGCTTCACACAGTCATGACACGGACAATAGCTTCACACAGTCATGACACGGATAATAGCTTCACACAGTCATGACACGGACAATAGCTTCACACAGTCATGACACGGATAATAGCTTCACACAGTCATGACACGGACAATAGCTTCACACAGTCATGACACGGATAATACAACAGGGACCACTCGGATAAAGCAACCGCTTATCCTAAAAGACCGCTGAGCTCAGGACCAAGGGATGCTATTTCCAGTCAACGACCCTGGATAAGGAGACCACCTGGTAAGAGAGACCACGGTTTGAAGGTCACGTGAGCGGTCGTCTTAGACAGCTGTTTCACTATACACTATGCCCTTTGTGAGCCAAGTTTTCATTTTACAGTAAGACCTGTCAAAGCGACCACTCTGATAAGGCGACCACCTGTCCCAGAGGACCACTACAGCTAGAACCCAAGGGTGGTATTTCTAGTCAAATGACCCTGGATGAGGAGACCACCTGCACTCAACGATCGCATTTTGAAGGTGCCTTGAGCGGCGGTCGTCTTAGACAGCTATCACTTTACATGTATTTCCCTTTTTCTACTTCTTTTTTCGGTTATTCTCCGGGCTCTAGTGGCTATGTGATGACATCATCAGTTGAGATGCCTTGGCGAAGTTGCGGCCGCGACAGCGATGCAGTAGCGAATCACTAGCTTAGCGACACGCTCTGTAATCTGAATACTGTCCGGCGCATGGAAATCCAGTCGATTTGACGCGGGCGGCGCCCTCAGTGCGTACAGAACAGCGCACGTGTTGATTCGATGCGACCGACGCGCTGCAGCGCATAATAATACATGCATGCGTGTACTGCTTACCCACGGCTGCATGGCCGGCCTGCACCCTGGGGCCGCTAGACCGGTTTTTTTAATTTAATTTATTTTATTTTTTTACAGAATGCACCTCCTACTGATAGACCATAACAAAGAGAGGAGAAGAAGAAGACAAAAGAAAATAATGATCGAGACAACAAAGGAGAAAGACAGACAATGTACTAGTAGGGGCTCTCAGGGAGCCTGTGCCGGTGAGGCGGGACTAGCAACGCCGACCTAGGGTCTTGGCGTTAGCGCTATCCAGCGCACCATGGACGGGATTACGAAACACATGTAAATAGATAAGTGAGGGGGAGGGAGCTGATTGTGGATATATGGGGTGTTACAGCGAGTCTGTAGCCCAATACCAGCGGCTTTGTCGTAGGTGCTGATGCACCTTACCCTTGAACGACTGGAGGGACATCAGGCGTGGTGGAGACTGCAGCACAGTTGGGGGCAAGTTGTTCCACTCGTCAATGATGCTGTAGGGGAAGCAGCGGCGCACGTAATCAGGAGAGGAATCCGGGAGGACGTTCTGTAGCTCAGACTCGTGGCGCACCGAGTGGTCGGGCCGAGAGGAATACGTGTGGTCGGGCCGAGAGAGAGACGTGTGGCCGGACCGATAGAGAGAGAGACGTGTGGCCGGACCGAGAGAGAAACATGTGGCCGGATTTCCATGTCCACAACAGTACATAGTACCAAGAGTACATAGTACCAAGAGTACATAACCCCCCCCCCCCCCCCCAGAGTACACTCGCCCACTCTTGTACTTGTACTTGTACAAGCACTCACCCACCCACTCACCCACCCACTCACCCACCCACTCACCCACTCACTCACCCACTCACCCACTCACTCACCCACTCTTGTACTTGTACTTGTACAAGCACTCACCCACCCACTCACCCACCCACTCACCCACTCACCCACCCACTCACCCACTCACCCACCCACTCACCCACCCACCCACTCACCCACTCACCCTTCTTGCAGGTAAACTGTGACGCAGTCCAACAAAAAAATTGATTTCAATCTTCGGCACCCAGCACGGCAGAAGTAACTGGGCATTCTCCATGTACACTCAATAATGATTATCAGAACGAAACTCCTAAAACCCACCCACCCTCAAACGAAAACAATCATTTCGTTTTGAAAATACTAAGGGGTTCCGGTGGTCTGCTGACTCATCATTTTATGACTTCTTTCGCATTACCTATGCGATTCATGTAGTTAGAGCTTTTAATTTTTAAGGACAGACCAGCGGTCACTTCTTGGAATCAGGTGCGTGGACATTTTTTGAATCGCTGGTGGCAGGCGAAGCCCAGATCACATTCAGTTTGTACGGGAATGGACACGTGGAGGTTACAGAAGCACTTGGATGCATGGCACTCAACTTCATGTCCAACACTACACTCGTGTTGAGTCAGAGCAGCTGCCAGGAAGCCCTTCCATGGCTCGGGCGACAAAGAACAAGCTTCAGAATCGCTCCAAGCGCTGATGGAGACGGACCTGTCACATTTCGTATACGTTTTCAATGCACGACCTGTTCAGAATCACCGCAATCTCGGGGTGAGCACCGCTGACAGGCACGGCGCCGCGCTGTGTCCTTGAAACACCTCTACCTCTCAAGCCATAACTTTATAAGTAACCATGGTAACTGTTACATACAATATGCATGATTGTACTACAATTAGGACATCTATGGTTAACTCCACTTATTACGAACTTGCATTATAGCGAATTTCGTGGTAATTACAGCGAACCCATGTCCATGTCCCAGTTTGAACCCATACCGAATTGACCATTTATAGCAAACAGTTTTCGTTTATAACGAACCAAATCGTGTAGGGCCGTATGTAAACCAAGTGCACTCATACTGTCATTGGCCACTTGCCAGTCATGACTTGCTGCTTGTATGGTGTGAGTGCATTTCTGTTATAACACACTTCGGCTATAAAGAACTAATTATCCTGCACAACGGTGTTCGTGATATCAGGAGTCGAATCTTTTTGCGTACAGACACAGTCGGTGGTCGTGAGAAACCTGTGGCATGCTGAAATCAACGGACAAATCAATGGCCACCTTCTAGCTTACCTGCCTGCCCAGCGTGTTAGCCACTAGTGCTCTGGCTACGCTCCACTGCCACCGGCAACGACAGCAGTTGTGTAGTATTGTTCTTGTAGAGTACCGCTCCAGGCGAAGAGCGATTGATCAGCGTCCGCTCCTAGAAGTAGAAGCACACAGGCTGGCTAGCTAGGCACTACCGATCGCGATTCGGACGAAACGCACGTGTCCAGTCCAGTTGCACAAACTGTGCATGTGCAGCCCAGTTCTTTACAACACAAGCAGAATGATACAACGTTACGTGTAGTGACAATCAGTTTCTAACTAGCAATTGCCATCAACAGATCAAACAAAGCTACAGTTTCTGTTTCTGCTCTCTCATCAAGTGGAGCACTGGACGACTGGTAGCTAAATACAGTTCTTTGTTAGCAAAGCGCACAGAACATTCAGAATTGGGTCTACAGACTTAGTACAGTCTTTTATATAGCGAACTACAGAAACAACTACACGGTGTACTCATCATCCGCTAAATTACTAACAAGGGAGCGCGGTGCAGTGTTGAGCTTGCTCAGAATCAGAATCAGATGCTCGCCTCAGCTCAGCTGAGACTCTACCATTACCACTGGCACTGCACGAATAACGCTTAACGTCGAATTCCACTACCAACGCAGCAGCAGGCTTCGTCCTCGTGGTCGTGGCCGATCGCGATATCGATCGAGTAAATAAACGCGCTTGCGCTTGGCACGTCAGTGACACTGACAGCGCGAAGCAGCGGGGTCTCTGATCTGATCACGAGACTTTGAAAGGCGAATTCTTACTATTACTGTATTAGTAATTAGTTAGCCGCAGTACAAGGTCAGTGCATGCTATGCTCATGTCGCCCACAATACCGTCACGTGTAGATAAACATACGATCTACCATGATTACTAGTACATGTAGTACTAGTAGATCTACTCTGACTTTCATCACCGCATCACTCCCTGCACATGTGCAGTCGAGTCAGTCATCGAGTGTGTGTCAGTGCAGTACTGACAGTAGGTCTACCTTTCTACAAAACAGCTGATTCGCGCTGATCGGTGCACGTGCGGATCAGGGAGTCGTGAATGGTGATTGGTGTGCGGCTTTACCATTCACCGTATACATGGTATACGCGTAGATCTACGGTCGTGCGCACATCGATCAGATGCACATCAGTCATCGACATCAGGGAGTCGTGAAAGCGGCTTTCACGACTCCCACTGTCACCACACATCTCTCATATACTCTGCCCTCTGGTACATGGTGCTGTGTGTGTAGTGGTGGACGCACCACGCGAAACCGTAACACCAATACAACGGTTTGTGGAATGCTAGCGCTAGCCGCTAGCGCTAGCGAGGAGTCGAGTGTCGTGTCGGATCATACTCCGCGTAGGCGTAGAGCTACGGCGTCCACCATGGTCCACGCGTCCGCGGCCTATAGCGCCTGTGCACAATACATGTGGAGTGTGCGTGGTACCGGTACCGACGACTGTACATGTATGTATACATGTACCGTGCACGCGCGCGCTCGTGCACGCGCGTGCACGCATGCAGCTCACGTCGAAATAATTGCGCGTCACGTCAGAAATAATAATAATTATTATTATGTATAGGATATTGCACGGTTCCGAGGTGATTATTTTTCAAATCCCCAAGGCGCGCAGCGCCGCGGGCCGCGGGGATTATAATATAAAAAATCCTCGCGGACAGTAGTGGCGGGTAGTACTAGTGCACTGAGTCTGTGCCTACTGTTACTTTTCGGGTGATCAGCAGCGCTGCATGCAGCATGAACCAGTGCACTGACTGTGAACGGAACACCGAACGCGAAGTACCGGTAGTTCTGATCAGGGATGTTATGTACTCCCTGGTTCTGGTCGTTTGTTCGTCGCCTCTCCAGGTTTTGATCCACTTATTGGTTTGACTGAGGCGAATGCGGATTGTCACACACTTTCTTTGGTTTGTCTCCCAAGACGAAGCCTCATGAACTCTGCTGCTTGTTGGTAGCTGACAAGACCGTGGGGAAAAGCGATACTGATAGCGATCAAGTGAAGACGACGAAATAGTAGATATTGTAATTATTTGAAAATAATTTGAGGTGCTCTGTTCGTCTGTCACCTACCGGCGTGGAGGCGATTTATTCCCTACAAATCAAAGGCTACAATGAAGAATTGTCAGACACTGACGTCCGTCCCATGGCTTAGTCAAATGGTGTAAGAGTATCCGAAATAAGATGGATTGTTTGTGATCGTGTGGAACAGATTTGACAAGACCAGTAGAGCGTGAATGGGTACATCTACACGTACATGTATTATTTTATTTTATTTTATTTATTTCTGCACCTCGTGGCATGTCAAGACAGCCAATTGAATTGAGGAGAGGGTGAGACCAACCACGGAAGAAGAGAAAAAAGAAAATGAAGAGCACGTACACAAAGTGGGAAGGGATTAGCAACTTACAAAGCAATGGGATGCTCAGCGAGCTATGCAGCGGAAGTGGTGACTGTGACTTTGTTTACTGGGAGATACTGAAGTGCTGTCTGACGAGGGTACGGAATTTGGGCATATCTAGAGCTTGTCTAACACTGGGAGGCAGTTGGAGCCACGTGGAATAGGAGGAAAAGAAAGGGGAATTTACGAATAGGGTAGACCTAGCTAGGGGGAGACGAACGCAGCTTCGGGTGGTGCCACCTGAATTGAACCAATTATTAAGAAAAGGGACTGTAAATGAGCAGGGTGCTGGTCAAGGAAAATTGAATGTGCCAGGGTGCACTTGGAAGCATCAAGGTAATGTTGCAGAGTGGTAGTGGATGCAGCAGCATACAAGTCTAGATTTGAGATATAACGATCAGTACGAAATATGATTCGCAGTATACGGCGATGGAGAACTTCTAATTTACCTATGTGGGTTTTGTTAATGGTGGACCAGGCACGGAAGCCGTACGTGAAGAGGGGAAGAATGTATGATTTATAAAAATTAATCCGGCAATTTTTGGGCAAATGGGACAAGTGACTTGACATTATGCCGACAGATCGGCATACTTTGGACGACACATGATCAACATGGTGAGACCAGGAGAGGGCGGAATCTATGACAATGCCAAAGTGTTTATGGTGGGGCGCTACAGAGATAGGGTGACCGGGATCATCGGGAAAGTGGAAGATGGGCACTGGATCTGTGGGAGGGGGAAAAAGGAGGAGCTCGGTTTTGGTCACATTTGGCTTAAGGTACCAAGTGCTCATCCAGTGAACAATGTCGTTGATACAGGTCTGAACTTTGGGGTTCAGGGTGGCGTGAGATGGGGAGGAAGCAAGGACAGTGGTATCATCTGCAAACAAAGAAATATTGGGAATTGAATAGGGGAGGTCATTAACGTATGTGAGGAAGAGCAGGGGACCTAAAATGGAGCCCTGGGGCACTCCGGATGTCACAGACTCGGGGTCAGATAAGGTTCCATTTACTGTGACGCACTGATTTCGGTCCAAGAGGTAGCTAGTTATCCAGGCGAGTAGGGAGCCGGAGACACCATGGGCACGAAGTTTGGCGATCAGGCCCTTGTGCCACACGGTGTCGAAGGCCTTGGAGAGGTCGAAGAAACAGATGCAGGAGACCTGCCGCTGGTCTTTTAGGGAGCAGAGGTCTTGGATTATGCGGGACAATTGCAGGGATGTGTTGTCCTTACGTCGGAAGCCAGATTGTGCGGGGTGAAGAAGAGGGGAGATATGATCGTACAAGCGGTCGTACACTATTCTCTCTAGCAGTTTGGAGACGCAGGACAGGAGGGAGATTGGTCGGTAATTAGATGGGTTGTTCTTGTCGCCTTTATTTTTGTACACTGGAATGACAGTGGCTGACTTCCATCGTGACGGGAATGTGCCGGAGGAGAGGGAAAGGTTAAAAAGAATGGAGAGTGGGCGGGCAGTTGAGTAGCTCAGTTTCCTGAGGATCTCAGTGGTGATCCTATCAGCTCCGGGGGATTTGTTCAGAGGCAGTCTTGCAATATACTTGTGAACAGTCGATGAGGTGATGATCAGGGAGTGCAATGTAGTTGCTGGTGGAGGTAGGGAGGAAATAGTGGGAATAGGAGCATCGGGGTCAACCTGTAAGCCAGCACTGACGAAGTGGCGGTTCAATAAGTTACCAATTACCAATGGATGCCGGAGAGGTGCTTGTTCGACCATTGGGGCCCACCATCTTCGAAGGTATGACCCGGGCGCTGGTAGGATTTCGCAGTTGACGAATGAGCACAGGGAGGGATGGGAGGCGAGGGTTTGTGGGAGATATCGTGGCACGGAGGTTGCGGATGTAGCAGCGATGGCAGGATCTGGAAAGGCATTTTACATAGTTACGTTGGTGTTTGTATTTGTTGAAATTTGTAGGGGATGGGTATTTCCGGTAGATGCTGTAGAGATCGCTCTTGACTTTGTGTGTGTGTGTGTATGTAGAACCAAGAGTACATAACCCCCCGGAGTGTGCAACGCCTGATCCAGCTCTGCGTAGGGTCTTGGTCGAGCAGAATCGGATCTTTGCGTCATAATGCCGTACACATCTGAGGGGAACCCGGGGAGTCGCGGGTGCTCTTGGATCAAAAGCAATGGTACCCTGCCTCGAGACCGGCCTTGCGCTGGTATGAAGTGTACGCATGACATCAGAAGATCCGATTCCGCTCGACCAAGACCCTATGCAGAGCTGGATCGGCGTTGCACACTCTGGGGGGTTATGTACTCTTGGTAGAACCAATGACATTGAGTTAGTAGTAGGCTAACTGCTGCAAAGTTTTTATCTTTCAGGTCTGTGAAAGAAGGAATTTTCCAAACACTGTACTAGAAACCAAAGTTTGCATTGAACGGCGATGCTCATTACTATTCGTCTTTGTCATTTCGTTCAATGTTTCTATGACAACTCGTGTGCTGGACGAGCATTTGTTGTCATTGACTCAATTTCTTTTACTCTCCATAGGCTATTGGATTATTTTCCTTACTCGGTCTATTTATAACCAGTATCTATGAGAATGTGGTGTGTCTCTATGGTTACCGGTGTTCGGCACACCCGGTTCATGTAGCATGTTGCAAATTAAGATGTTCTTGTTTGTTGCTGATAGAAAGATTGCCACTTCCCTAGTTTTGTTTCACCAATATGCTTTTCTTTTGACAACTATAGCCACTTCCCCTTTTTAGACCTTATTTGGAAGGCCCATTCTTGCATATTCAAGCAGCAGCCAAGGGAGCTAGCTCTCTTGGTTATGCTGGTAGAAGGACTGGGTCCGACCCACCGTCCGAGGGGATTATGAGCCATAATCCCCTCAAACTAGGGGAAATTAACCGTAGATCACCTGAAAAGGGTGGTCTATAACAACTTAAGGGGGCACATCACCCAAAAATTCGCTGAAAAATCGAATTTGTAAATTCATATTGAGTGCTACGTCAGTTGAAAGAGCATGAATAGCTGCAAATTCTCTGAAAACTGTGTCCCTATCTGACCAGCCGTTCAAGAGTTATGGCCGAAAATGTGCCCTTGCAAGGAAAGATTTTTTTGTTGCATGCTGTCATTTGTTGGCAGCACTGTATTTGAATGTGAGCAGACCGTGCGCAACTTGTCGTATTATGGAAACACGCGAAAGTGTGC